GCATGAATGATACCGCTCGGCTCCAGCGCCCCCCTTGCGGTACGGGGGCTTTGTGTACCTTCTCGCCTTGACAGCCGTGGCTGTCCGGTCCAGCTTGCACTCTCTCAGCCGTGATGCTCACCACTGATCGCTCTCTGCGATGCGCCCGCCCGCGAAACGTATGACCATCGTTTTGCCCATAGGTCTGCACGTTCTTGCACGCTTTGAAAGTGCTAAAGAGGTTGTCCATGTACAGTACAGTTGGATTGATACTCGTCCCTCGACTGCGGGGGCTCCTTGTTGATTGCAGTACCGTTGCGATAGTTTTGGATTTTCGTCCCTTTTTCAGAGTGATGGTCGTTGTCTCTCGCGCGATCAAGATGCGTCTGGGATAGCCGCACGACCCCATGTGACTCCATTTTTAGTGCAGTGTCTGCACCCTTCCCATCTGTGCTGTCGTGCGCGTCCCTTCTTGTAGCAGTAGCAATCGCAATTCTGGTTCTCTTCTCCATGCAACGACCTCCGTCGAGTTGTTCGAGTATCGCTCGTGTCAAGACCATCACTCGTACACCTGGACGGGCGCTGTAACTCACAGGCATGGCAGAGAGAAATGTTGACTGGTGACCATGTGATTCTACTGTCTGGTCAACGTCAAGGCATGTGCGCTTCGACTCATTTGCAGACTTGCGCCAAAGCATGAGCGACGACGAGGACGAGTTCAGTCTGCGCACGTTTGCGCGCGATGCTGTCATGCCGCACTGCTGCCTGAACGAGCTGGACATGAAGCGCATCCCGGCGGCGAAACTCGGTGGCCTCGCCGTGTCCTCGTGGCCGCTGTCGCCCGAGACCGTCACGACACTCATGACCAAGTTTGCTGGCCGCGTGCCGGCCAAGAACATCATCTCCCGCGGGTTCCATAGTATTGTCGACGAGGGCTGTTTTGAAGACTCGTGTCTCAGCGAGTTGGACCCCGCGCCTGGCGTTCCCGATACCTCCATCGCCTTTAGCACGACGCTGGTGCATTTTGCAATTGACGTGACCGGCGACGCATCCAAGCTCAAGCCGGTCACGAAGCGCCCGCCACCCCACACCTTTGCGACGGTCGTGTACTTTTTTCCGTCCAACTGCGTCGGCGGCGCCGTCACGATTGCACACGAGCACCGGACGACGACATTCGAGGCGCTCGACGGATGCTGCCTCGCGTTCTACAGCACGTGTGACGTGACCGTGGCACCCATCACGTCCGGACACCGGTCTTTTGCCGTGTATTACGCCGCCTACGACGTGGACGCATCCGCCTGGGACGACGAACACTTTCCCAAGGCATGGTACGCGCCGCGGCCGCTGCCGTCGATCCAAGAGCTCCAGGACGCGTCTCACCGCGACGATCCAGAAGGCTACATTGGCATCACGGTGGGGCTCGAGACGCGCAGCTTGACGCCGACGTTTGATTCGCTTACGGGTTGTGACAAGGCCGTCGTCGACCGGCTACTGGATGCAGGCGTGTTTGACATTGCACTTGTGCGAGCAGGCGACGACAACAGTGACGCGCCGGCGCGGATCGAGACGTTTCATCCGCGATGCAAGACCCCAGCGCTCGTCCAAGAGATCTCCCACCAGACGCCAATCAGCGAGTTTGCAGATGACGCGCACGAGTACGAGTCGCCCGGCCGCTTTCTCCTCGTGTGGCCCAAGGCGCATCGCGTGCGCATGCTGGGCTACGACCGCACGATTGCGCTTTTGCGCGCCAACGTGGACGGTGCCGTCGTCGACGATTTCGGCTTCGGGTCGCTCCACAGCATCTTTGAAGCGGCCTTCTGCTTCTTCTACCCGCAGCCCAATACCAATTTCCGTCATGACCCGGAGCACATCACAAACATGATGGCGTCGGTGCTCTACGACCATGGCGACGTCGAGCTCATCGAGGCATTCCTCGCCGTCCACGACTGGTGGGCTGACGATGCGATTATGGCGGATTGGCTCCTCGCGGTGCTCCGGAGTTTTGGCGCACCCCGTTTCCAGCACCGGCTTCAAACGGCCGACGTTTCGATCCCCTTTGTGGCGCAATTGGTGCGACTCGCGACGGCCGGCGACAGCCTTGCGCAGACGATCGCATGCGACTGCGTCCCGCTGTGGTGGCCTCGCCTTCTGCACTACCTCGTGCAGACCGTCCGCGATAAGTCCACGGCGGTGTGTCGTGTGTTTGACATGGAGACGTATGTGCTGGCGCACCCCATTGACACGGCGGCGTCGACATATCTCCGTCGGCACTTGCCCGATGGTGTCGTGCCCCTCGGTGGCCGCGTACCTTGTGCCACCGCGCGTCTCGCTGCTGGACG